ACTCACTCACTCACTCACTCACTCACACTCTCTCACACACTCACACTCACACTCACACTCACACACACACACACACACAAACACACACTCGCGCACACGCACACACACACACACACACACACACACTCACACACACACACACAGACACACACTCGTCACACTTTTCACGCTATAACTTTTATATTTGATGGTATATTTTTATACATATTTGTATATATGTGTGCATGTGTGTGTGTGTGTGTGTGTGTGTATGTGAGTGAGTGTGTCTGAGTGAGTGAGTGAGTGAGTGTGTGTGTGTGTGTGTGTGTGTGTGTGTGTGTGTGTGTGTGAGTCATATTTCTCTCCAGAATTATAAGAAATTATATTTTAAATACAGAAATTTGATATATATTTTAGATATTTTAAATACTGTTTTTAGGACGACTACGCTATCTTACATTCTAACATGATGTTCACGAGGCTTCAGCACATTCTGGTGTCGAGGAATCGAACGTGACGCCTGTTCTTCACATTGAGTGTGTTTATGCTGTGTGTGTAATTACAGAGTTCAGACGCGCATCTCTTTATTCATGAGGTCAGAGGTCAGAGGTCAATATCTTTCTAAACTTACAGACAAAGCCTGAATGACACAGAAAGTGAGCCGGCCGGCCGGTGAAGAGCGAGGTTCATCAGGACGGTCTGATATTTGTCTCTCCGCTGGGAGTGTGGCGTCAGGATTACGCGGTTCGTTTGAGGTGCTGTTTAATTGGCAGCTGGGCCGTGGAGGATTATGGGTATTCCGAGGGGTGACGGAGGGACGTCCATCTGCAGTCGCAGACACACATGAACATGAACACACCTCTGCGTCTGTCACAAACACACTCACACTCGACACGTACTGGATCTCTGCTTTTAGCAAATGTAATTTCTTACTGTAACGGAAGAGTTCACTAACGCACGTGTAATGAGAGGATTCCATTTGTGACGCTAATCATGCTATTTTTGATTCATTTGGAAAGAATGTCTGAAATTAACTATTTATTTACTATTAAACACTATAACAGTTATAGTATATAAACTATAATATATATAATAAAGTATAAGTTAAAAATGTTTTATAGTATGTACAGTATGATTTATATTTATCATGATTATCATATAATTATACTTTTTTCTACTATAACTTTCCTAATGTTTTATACTCTGACAAACTGCTGTTGTTGGGCGGATAGAAAGTAGCCTAATGCATGATATGGAGATTTACTTGTAAATATAAAGATGCATAGCTCTGACTTATTTTAAACTGTAATAATAATAAATTAAACTTGGCAGCCCCTGAAATCGATCATCTCATGCATTCAAAGACGTGCATTTACTGCTTGGACGGAGCAAGAACACTTTCTTAAATTCATGTGCAGATTCAGTCGAGTAATATATACATACTTTTTAGTATGTAGCAGAATAGTGGGCAAGCTTTGGGACAAACTACTTCATCAGAACGGCGTCTTTAACGGATGCTCTGTTGCTTAGTTACGTGCATTCTGTCACAGTTTAAACTGCCCTGTCAATCATCTTGTCAAAATTAACATTATCCATATTTCGTTTAATTGAAGTTTCTACCGTATTGGAGAGAAATGAAGAGGCACGTTGATCTGTCAGTTGCGGGTCTATCATGCCGAGAACTCTGCTCATGTGTTTGCATAATGATGCATTTAAAAGTTAATGACCAAACATATCATTATGAAGTTCACAGTGTTGCTGCAGATGCAATATAATGCGGATAACATTAAATAAATATTTTTTCATCAGTTATTGATTATTTATCACTCCAACCCCTTTCTCTACTTGTCCGTCGGTCTCACATATCTGTCATGTTTGTAGTTTTTTAACACTTTTCATGCGTGTTTGCAGTTCTAATCGAATCCTCGTCCACCGCGCAATGTGTTGTGGGCAATATTAGATGTTAGAGTGTGCACGGATCTGCACTTCGAATTTCTACCGGAAGCAGTAAACCATCTGGGAATCTCTGGCATACTCATTTCAACATACTGTGATTTGGGACATACTAATTCTAATTTCGAATACTATTTAGGACGGATAGCATGCGAATTGGGACGCAGTAACTAGCTTTGATTCTGCATGAATCAGCTGTTTGAACAAATCGGTTGAATGAATGACATGAGATACATTCGATTAATTAATCAGCATATTGTGTAATTAATTATATTAAAACATTTTTAAAACATAAAAAATATGCAATAAAAATCATGCTAATTTATATATATATATATATACAGTGGGTACGGAAAGTATTCAGACCCGGCACAGGTGACCTGCCATGCTGACCTGTCGAGTGCCAGAGATTCGAGCTGCGTGAGGGGAATGTTCGCTCGCTTTAGGAGGTCCCTGGTGTACTCCTTAAAACACCGTTTTTGCCCTCCAGCGGAGCGCTTTGTGCCCATTAGTTGACTGTAGAGGACTTGGCTGGGCAGGCGGTGTTCATGCATGCGTATGGTGTGCCCTAGCCAACGAAGATGTTTTTGGGCCACTGCAGCTTCCATGCAGATTGAGTCAGTGTTGCTGAGGATGACTGTGTGGGGAATTC